TATATACGTTTGACCCTTTTAATTTCCAATGATGTTTGAAAAAACTTGCTTGTAATTATCAGAGACCAAACATCCCTTTCATCAGCTTTGGCCCCTTAAATATTCCTGTGATAACTTTGTACTGGTACCTTTTGTCGAAAACCAACACCAAGGCAACAGAAAACGAAGCAAAAAATCATAGGCCTATCGAATCTTCTGATAAATAAAGTGAAAAGGAAGGACCTAAAAGAATTAGGTCTTTAAACTTACTATCTAATCTGGAGATGTACCACTACCTTGTTTAACAATAGTCGAAATTAACTTTGAAATCCAGTTAAACGAGAAAAGAATGTCAATCCTTTTCTAAGTCCGGGAATAGGCAGCACAGCCCAAGAACATTTTTGTTGATCAGTTCCTGTTTTGGGTTTTTATTTTCTCTTTCTTTTCTTACTTTTTAATTTGAAAGTACTCAAATCCTTTGCAAGAAAGTTCATATCAGGTCAGACCCCCCCCGACTGCAGAATTTCCATTGCGCTAAAAACAGCCATTCGATAATGCTTACATCACGTGTTCTACATCAATAGACACGCGGAAGCCATCCGTCCAACATCGGACGTGACGTGCGTGCCCTCGGCCAGCGTGCCAGCACGTCTGCCAACTTTTACTTTCACACATGCAGGAATAATCCATTATTCATGCAAGCTCGCTCGCTGTTCGTGCTACAGGAAACCAGTGACGTATGGAGTTGTCGGTGTACACACGTTTTTATACCAAATTTGGGAGGCATGAGTTTAGACGAACAGCCGGCAAAAAGCTGAAATTGGAAAATTTCCCACAATTTCTACGGAACAGGTGTGTGGAAAAAAAGAAAATTCAGAGTGAAATCCGAAGAAGAAAACGCTGAATTCAGCTGGATCCTGCATTTGGACACCCACAGGACTGCTGCTATAACATCAGCAATCCAAACTTCAGTTCTACAGGGGACTGGAAGAGGGGACCAGACTTGCAGTGCGTTCGTGAAGGTCCTGATGTTACACACGATACAATTTCTGTTTTGTTGTGTAACAATAACGCTTTCAGTCTTCTGAGACATTTCCCATCTCTTTTAGACGTGAATCAGTTGTTAAAAAGGACGCTCAATCCGCAATTTTATGAAAGGAAAGAAATCAGTTTTTCAAGAAACTTCAGCCAGCTGACAGCCACAGATTGGCTCCCGAAAACGGAACAAAAAGGAACCGGTCATTTTTGTAAACTGTGATCTCGTGTTGAAATTGGAACGGCATCTCTTGACGTATGGCTGAATATCACTTTCTCGTGGGATTATCAAGACACCGACACACGTCAGGAGCGTGCCTCGAGCGCAGTCTTGGTTTTGCCCGTAGCGCTTGCTGATTAGCAGTTTGCGGTTCGACCGCAGCATGACAGGTGGGAACATGACACGCCAGCAACCTTCTAATTGCTACATACAAAGGAAAAGTCTTAAACAACGACGCACAGTCTCCATTGAATGAAAGACAAAATCAGAAAAACAATGCCCCTGAAAAAACATTCAAAACAACAAATTCGTAAAGGCTAAGGCAAGAAATGCACGGTCGACATTGGGCAAAAATATCCCAATGACTTGCATGTACAAAAACCTCGTGTTTTAATTTTTAAATACGTGCCCACGTGGTTTGATTAACCATTAGTCAGCGAATTCTAAAGTCTTCATCACAAAAGTACACTTCCAGTAACACCAGACACTTTGACGTCTGAGTTCCCTATATATGTACTGAAAGTTTAACAAAGAAATGTTTCACATGCAACTTTGAATGCATTTTATGTTCTTTGTCACAATACCTAGTAGAACTCTGCGTTATTGTGATCGCTCCCGAACAAAATCCACAAATGTGACCCACCATCCCAAAACCAGGCTGAAGTATGTAACTTCATTTCCCGAAAAGTTGGAACTTTCACAGTTTCATGTGTTCATGGAAGTGCTACAACTATAGTATATCACTAATCGTACAAATTTATCTGCAGACAGAATTAAGTCTCAACGAGGATCACTTTGAAGATGTGAAAAAGGTGAAGGAGAAGATTTTGAATTGCCCAACATCACAACTACGTACTTCAGCTTGGTTTGGGGATGGTGGGTGTGGGTCACTACTTCAGAGGTTAAAAAAATCAGGAACTCTGGCACTACCTTCCTTTCGATGGCATTTGGGGGAACAAGGAAGAATTTACTTTTGAACAGGAATCCAAAAATGTGAGATGACTTGAGTTCTAGAGCATGTTAGTCAAACGACCTGTTGAGTTGAAGTGAGTGCTGCAATTTTCCCACTGAAGAAATTGCAAGGAGGACACTGGAAAGATTACCCATACCACTTTCGCACGACCAAGAATCGCTCTCCCTCTTTCTTCTTAAAAATATCTTCACAACATGTCTCTAAAACGACACCGCGTAGACAACAAGGTAGGGGTAAAGACAACATGTGTTTTAGGTGTTTTGGGATCAGCATCGTCATGACATGCCAAAAGCGAAACAAACAGAATTCAACAAAGAAAACTGCTTGCCACAGCTACGACCTTAAAAAAGACTGAACTCAAAATTTCAAATAAAAGCGCGAATGGCCCTTGTTGGACAGATTTTAATGACTCTTTGCGTCAGGCATCCGTGAATCAAAGTTACCGTCACATCTAGACCCCTCTTATGCCGGATTATTTGCCAACGATTAAACGGTCTGGTTTGTTACCACGGGATTAAATACAGCAAGCTTTAAAGGAAAAAAAAAGAGGGACTCGCTTTCCTTCCCACAAACGCTACAGGGGACTTCCATTTAATTCTAAAATGACCATAAAGGTGCCGTAGTGTTTTTGTCTCCTCAAGATGCATTTTCTTTAGGACCCTATATCTCTTTCTGTTGTGCATACTCTTGGTTTTTGTTTTTACCGAAATCACCAAAAATTTCCAGAGGGGTAAATATTGCATCGGATAAATTTCAGTTAATTGTTAGGTGCTGTTTTTCCCGCACTACAGCTGAAATTCTAATCCGCAATATGAAAAAAAAACATAGAAACCAAACCGTGAAAGAAATACATGAACAAGTATCATGGCGGGCATGGAAAGTCTGCATCTATTCGCGTAAAAACGATTCAATGTGTGTGGTTCCTTTGTGGCCCAATTCGACTATTTACTAGATCCAAATTGTAACCTCCCTTCTCAGTGGCATTCATCGTACTATTACATCGTGGGTAGTTTCGGTTCAGCGGGCACCATTATTTTTTACGCCCTCACAAAAGCTGGGTTGTGAAACTGTTAAAAGCCATCTGAATTGAGCCGTCGCCGAATGCAGCGCGCTCATACACGACTCCCGAAAACTATCGGTTTTGGTAGCATCAACTAATGGGTCAGGGGGAGTTTCGAAAGCGTTGTCAACACAGCAAAGGATCCTCTCACCAGCCCCCTCAAAGAGCCAGTCTGAGTGTAATTGTCATTTGCCTTTACCATTATTAAACAATTTGAACTAAAGCTATCACCATCAGTGGAGATAGCTTCGCCGATTATTGTTTTATCAGTAAAAATTGCAGACACAGGGGAAACAGAACTGAAAATAACGTAGGGCATAACTTACCCATGACTAAGGGTGATACAATCAGGCCAAATACAATGCCAAATTAAAGAAAAAAAAACCAAGATCAGATTGCTACAAAACTTATTCCACCAATTATGTGATGAAAAGTGAATCTACCAAACTGATACCTGCTATGACGAAGTGTGAGGAACTAGCCTTTAAAACATAGAGACAGACACCATCGTGTATCCAGATCGTCAAGTCATGATGCACTAGGCCTAGTATCTGATCCTATAAGAAGATATCTAGCAAGATTACAAACATATACAATAAATATTAAATGACAGCTCCGTCAGAAGGAAGGAAAGTACCACTCTATAGTTCAGTTACTCAAGGGAATTAATCATAGGTGAAAAGTTCTTTCCTTATCGTGAAAAGCTTCGCACAAGCCAGTGGATTAGAGAAGCCGGAAAATAAATAATAATGTTGAGAAATGTTTAGATAATGAACCATCATCATTAACCTCACAACCACATTAATCACGGTTATTAATCGCAATGCCGACAAATCACACTTTACATGGTTGAAAGTTAAAATACACAGTCATGGGGGGGGGCGGAAAAGGGAGGGCAACTGGACCAAGGGCGCTAACTGCAACTTCCCTGAACACCTTTAGTTATTTGCTCACTTCAAACTTTTCATTTGCACGGTTGTTATGAAATTAAGCGCGAAGAATAAGATAGGCGCAAAGACGGTTGTTGTGGGCTTGCCAAAGGAAGTTACCCTCCAGGGCATGAAGTTAAATTCTTCTCTTGCCCAGAACCATGAAGGATCTTTTTTATTCCTCCGTGCCCGAACCTAAGAGAGTTGTGTTATCACCTGTATCTCTTGAACCACAGCCTTTTATGTTCTGTGCTATTGGAATAAACATTTGTTGCAGACGATTTGGCTTGGCGTGTCTAATAAAAGTCGAAAAGCCTTTGGCGAGTTGCTTATCACACAAGCAACGGCTGCCGAGCTAGCTTATCTCCACCAACACTTGTCGGAGTCCCCCCTAAATAAGGTGCCACACATAACCTCTGTCATGCACCCTACAGCATTTTTATTACGCAGGCTGGTTATTAAATGTACATGTACAGTACATGTACATGTACAGTACATGTATGCGTTGATCAGAACAGCGACCAGACGCTCTCCGATGTGTAAATCCCCGGTGCAGCGTGAAATCTATTCGCGGAGCCTGACATCAGGCGCGCTGACCTGCCAATCACACATTCAACGTCACTGAGCCGTGCTGTCATGGGTTTGGACACGCCCCCGCTGCGGCCGATCTACCAATCGTAACGCGGCATAGACCGTCAGTGGACACCGTGCAGTGACATCATCGCAGCGAAGACTGGTGCGGGACTTCCCCTGCCAAGGCCCCGATAGGATTGCTACAATGCACTGTTCTTTTTTTACACTGCACGGTAAACAGCGCAGGGAGAAGCGTGGACACAAAAGTAGAGGCGAGAGATCAAGTTAACCATTCTGACACTGAACACTGAGAAATCAACAGGCTAAATGATCACTCACTCTTTGGAGCGAGGAACTGCAGATTATTAATGTTTACCGACTACATCTATCACTCCACACCCAGCAAACCTGACTAGGAGCACATCAGTCATCTGTTTACACAGTATATCAGCCACCTGCAACACAGGTAAGTAAACGGCCAACAAGATAAACCTCCGTAACTGTCAATCTATACCAAATCACTTCACCATGATGTATGAAAGTTGCAGCCTAAACTAACACTGGCTGTGAACAATCCCACAGCCAATACGTCCTCAGGGTAAGAATATTTCAATACAATCGGTACTGTTAAACTAGGTAACAATTAACATCTTGAGAATCGTGTGCAATGCTTATCAAATTGTATTCGGGTATCAGTCATCTAAATGTAATATCCTGTGGGACAACCGTATGGCCCGTTGGTAAACAACCATAAGATAAAAATGATCAGTTTACCAGTTAATGTATGTTCCACTGTCAAGTTGTTCAATGATTTCTTGTGACGTTTTTCTGATATGTAGAGCCTTTGCATAGATTTTCGATTTGAACTGGCTTTATAGTTTACCAGCGTAGGTCGTCACTAGAAGAGTAGAATCTTTTCTCACTTGTAACTTCGTAAGTGCATTCTTTAACATGAGCTTGTCACTGTGAGAGTGGAATGCTGTTATGCTAGTAAATATTTAGCCGACCTTAACTTACGCGCGATTACAAAATTCATTGGATCCGAGTGAAACAGACCTTACTGGTGAAAGCGAAAGCGCCCTCTAGGTTAGAAAGTACTCAAGTCTGTGAGGTACCGTATATCTTGCGAACTAGTGAAATGGTTGTAGCACTAACACCAACTCTTGATCGTAATCCAAAGGTTGCTTTGTACCATTTCTAACTTCAAAATTTGCGCTCGTATCATTCAACTGACGAGAACAGTGTTACAGGGAAGCCGTAAACGGCAAGGGCTCCGTTGTCAAGATCAAAATCCGCGATGATAAAAAAGTTTGAAGTGAGAAATAGAAGCAGTAAATGTACCTGGAAACCTAGTAACAAGAACTACGGTGATCCTATTTACCATCCACGGTCGAGTGAACACGCACACATGTTGCATGTTCCCAATGACATGGGATCTGGTGCAGAACCGAGACAATGTCGTCTGGAAAAACAGCCAAACCTTGGTTATAAAGGAGGTGGGGGAAGTTTTAAGTTGAAGTTTTTTTTCTTGGTGGCAAGCGTGATAACACATTAGTTTAGCGGTCAGTTTCGACACTGCAGTTTCTTGCATGACTTTCAACTTGAAACAGGAGGCCGCGCAAATGTTTGTAAAGACAACAAGGGAATAATAGCCAGACGTTTAAAGGAAAAGACAAAGGAAAACTACATGAATTAGGAAAAACTCCGAAAGCAAGTCAGATGTCGAACCGAGATTCTACGCAAGACACTATCACGTAGAAGGCACAATACAGTAAACCAGGCACTCAATAACTCAAACGACCTAAACACAAGGCTTCTCACAGAAATGAAGTCAAAGTAACTCACAACCAAACTAAAGTCTACTGCTTGCGAAATGTCAACGGCAAACGGCCACTTTCACACGGATTTCCAGAGGTTAATGTACACACCCTACAGCTATTGGCTTCCAAGTTATGGCAAAATATTAAAGTTTACTTACTGACTGGCTGCCTGGCCTTTGCGTCCGCGGAGGGCAGTGTTTCCTTCGCTCACACCTGCAATGACAAATCCGTATTCAAACAAAATCACGATTTCTAGCGATGCATTACCTCATCTTTGATGCTGATAAGTTCTCAAAACCAAACAACTGGAAGCGTATTTGCATTCCACATCTTTAGAATAACCCCACATAGTTTCAAAAAGGTTACTTAACACTGAGCTGATTTTCAAACAAAGCTTCTCTCAAATTATTCGATAGGATTACAATTCCTAATTCACCAATGAGCTGATTTTTGAAAACCTTTTCCATTCCTCCTATGAGTCATCGTGCTTATTGTCGTCACCAACAACTTTTTTATTACCTCATATTACCGAAAGAAGGCAGGCTATAGCCCTTCCTAATTAGTAACAGTCTCAGCATTGTCATTGAGCATAATAATTTCTAAGACGGCATCTAACTGTATCATTGTTATCCCGAACGGAATGTGCATTATGATCTTGGAGGACACATACTCTAGAGTCTTATTCCAACTAAGCGTTTAACAACCTCCAACTAATGACGTTAACGGTGGTCCGATTGAGCCAGTCATTGAGTGTCTCATCATCATCAGTGCTAGTGACACCCCCGGGCGATTATCAAACTTGATTTCGGGGAGGGTATTAGCCGGAGTGCTTGTGAATGGCATTCATCCTCCAAATCCCTTGGGTCACCGCCGCTACTGGGTATGTCGTCTTGGTGTCAGTCTGGCTCTGTCGTCATTTCACTCCCTGATCTCCGTCAGCTGAGATGGTGCCCGGTGGTGGTGTGCAGTGTTTGCGTCAACAGGTGTCTTGTGAGCTTCATCAGCAGGTGTCTGCTGAGCTCCACCAGTCAGCGATGATGGGCGGTCCAGCGACATATCCCGCGATGGAGCAGCCGGCTTGTCCTAGCTATAGCATATACGACGAGGAAGACTGGTCGGAAATAGTTGGTAAATGTTGCTTTTCATTTGAGAGGATTTCGAAAATACTGGACAGAAGCTTCAACTTTGAATGTTTTGGTTATATTGTTGGTTTCTATGTTGTATAATGTAAGCTGGGTTGCCTGATTAATTCTGCTATATTCTTGGGGAAACGACACTAGGAGTTTGCTCCTGCTCAGGAACATGCAGCGTTTGAAAATAAGACCTTACTGTGCGAGACTTGTTTCAGTGGTTTTTTCCATCTCGTTTTTTAACACAATGCACCATGTGCTCGGGAGACAGCTTGGAATCTAGGGTATTTTCTGTTTTACAAATATATCCAGCTTGTTAATCTTGCATATTTTTTAGAAATTATACTCAGAACGTCGGTTAAATTGATGATGAAATAGAGATGAATAGATCTAAGATTTTTCAATCCAGTCTTCTTTGGAAACCGCTTATCTGCTTCGCCAGGTCACAAGCTGTCCTTTCGCGCTGTGAAAATGTATCATAACGGAGGCAAGTAACTTGGAATGAGTCTACTCCTTAAGCAAACATAGGTTGGCTTAGTCTTGAGCTACGTGTATGTGATTTTAGAGAATCTCAGACTTTTGTCTCCTGGATGGTTGGCTCTTGGAACGTGGAGGACTCCATGCTCATTCACATGCAGAGAGTCGCATTCCTTCGACGCACATGATCTCCCAAGGGACTAGGTCAGCGCGAAATCAAGACCTGTTTGTCCGCGGGGGGGGGAGTCAGTCAGGGAGTTGAGGACATTTCGGTTCGTGGGAATTCAAGTGGTGTTTGTACTTTTACATCTTCCATTTCTATGGCTGGGTTAATTATGGAGATGGGTTAATGGGTTAACTGAGCTTAAGTAAAACAAAACCCTAATCCAGGTCCGCGGAGCTCCGTCATGAAACTGCAGTGTGGGGGGTTTTCCGGCTGTTAGTGTCTAACTGAAGGATATCCTACCAGGTGTTGAGGCCATTCAAGGAAATCTAGGGCTCGTTTCCCTTCTGGAACTGTTTGGACTGTCTGATTTTTATTTATTTGTTTTATTCTGAGAATTAAAATCTTTCTGAACTTGCAGCGAAATTGATTCGCAGAACGCCGAATCAGTACATACATACAGACTACTGACTTTAACATTTTGTAACTAGTTCACAGAATTTAAATTCCGCACACAGCTAGGTTTTGGAGATTGTCTGTTTTCTTGCAGAATCACATCCTAAGCCAATTGGTTGACCGCACGTCCATCCATCAAACTACCATCTCACATTTCATTAGTTTACAAAGATCCCGGTAGGAAGGTCCATAGGCCATTTGACAGCTTCCAAAAACCTTGATCTCTGGAGTGATATCCGTGTCGTAACCACACGCAGAGGTGCAATCTCATCTCTTAAAGGTGCGGAAAAATAACTCGAGACTTCAAAGAATTTTTATCAGCAAACTAGCCGTTTCAACGATAGCGCAATTTACATTCGTATACCTGATCACTTGTGATAAATCCCTTGTTAGGTAACAGGTCTACAGCTTTCAAACGTACCCTGAAATAGTTTGAAAGGCGTGTAAAACTTAATGAAATGGTAACAGAAGTCATTTTGACATGAAAGTTCCAAGTTGCTTGAAGTAACAACACACATCCATGTCACGCGAAAGTCAATCAATACTACATGCTCCATAAACAAAGTAGTGTTCATGTCTTGTCGACTGTAACTTAAAACAAAAATCATGTTACATTAATGACCAAAAACAGTTTCACTGAAATAGAACACTTGAATCTAGGCAGTGGAATAAAATACCAGACACGGAAAGGTCGGTATGAGGCGTGGCTGGAATAGGACACCGGCATGGTGCAGTGTTGCGCGTAAAAACATACCACAGCGCGTGTCGCGGCTCTCGGTGAAGCAATTGACATGTCACGTGTCAGGCTCAACATGCCAATTTTATGTCAGCATGTTTTCAAAACAGAAGTTGACGACCTCTTGTCTTTAGGTTCGAATCGTGACCAATACGGCTGGATCTGAGGTGAGCATTCAAGCTTGGATGAAAACAATCGTCTGCGTTTCGTGACACGTTAGGCATTGAGGGCCCTTTTGCCAAATTGTGGTATAACGTCATTGGGGCCGGGGATACTGAGTTGAGTCAAAAGTCCACTCGCAAGAAGAACCGCTTCTACAGATGAACGCTCAGCAATCTTTTCATTCAAAGCTTGCGACTGATGAACTTGGCTTTGATTTTTTTTTCGGTCTAGATTCCGTGGCCCTTCCTCCGGAAAATCAACTGCTAGATTTGTTGAATTCGTTGTACTTGTATCAAGACGAGGACAATATGAATCCGATGTGTAACAACGACATGGTAAGTCATTATTTGCAAAGATTTCTCAGCATGCACGTGCTATTTATGCATACAGTGCTTGGTTAGGCTTCTCAAATTCGTACAATATCATGTCGATGACAGAATGTGATTATAACTTCAAAATAAACAAGGCTTTGATCAACAAAACTGTCACTTGAACAAAAATAATATTGGTAATGTCTATATAAACAAAGTACATGTTACTATGATGACATATATGGTACATGTATATTATGTTGTTGAAAGTTAAGGGGAGAGAAATAAGCATTTGTGGTTGTGCGCGATCGCGGAGCCATGAAGTTCAGTATTGACCTCAACATCAATGGGCGTAGCCATTCGGCCCTGCCTCGAAAACGAAAGATACGTATCGGCGGATGCCAGACTTCACCACATCCTCTGGTAGGCTGATGAGTTTCATGATAAAATTCATTGCAGCACTGTGGTTGAGGTGACTCGGCGCGAGAGTAGATATCGTATTTCGTGAAATTCGAGCGGTGCCATCTCGTACCGCTTTCAACGTACCAGCTCAAAGCAATATGGCCTATGCGCTCTACACAACATTGCAGGCGGGAACAGTAAATTTTGTCTCAGGCTCTTGCAAATCTTTTTAAATCTTAAGTTTCATCACATTTTTATGAATCGGGCCAGAACGTTTACAACGGCCCCATCCACATCTGCTTGCATGCCCGTTTCACTGCTTTACTATAATTGCAAGGGGTATGAGAATGGTCACTTTGTTATTTCCAATGAGACTTTCTGTGTTTACTTTGAACGCCGTATACCATGACCTGCAAAGTAAAAGGTGTTATATCCCGTGGTCTATCGCAGGATATAAGCTGCCCATCAGGCTTCCTGACGTTATCTGAAAATAATGGAACCATCAGCTACGTGACATACCTATGCGGTATCCAAACAAAATCAGAACTGACTTAACAAGTACGACATGATTGCCATCATGTCGAACTGTACATACAAGACCCGTGCTCATCTCCAAGCGTGTCAAAGTTGGAAGACTTTTTTTCCTAGATCTCCCTCCTCTACAAATAGCAGCGAACAAATTCTACGAAAGGTGGATGAACCCATTTGTGGGAAAGGGCGACCGTCTCAATTGCCTGTTCTTGAGAAAAACGATGTCAGTTTTCAATGGCTTTCGTGGGAACCAAGTGATATTCTGGTTTTCACAGGCTAAAAATAGAAACTGTGTTCCTAAGTAAGAACATCTGGTTTGACAGGAAGCGAAGCCAAAGAGCCGAGTGTGCTATATCAACGTTTCACTTTCAACTTAAAAAAACAGCTTTCGCTTCTTTGTTGCTTTTCCTGGTGTAACTTTTTTTCCTTCCCAGAAGCCTTTGCAAAATTTACACTGAAAAAAAACCTGCCCTCACGTTTAGGATATACCCCAGATTTGCAACTAATAAGTCTAGTACACGACTATATAAATATATCTTGCATTTACGTATAACTGTGTTAGAACATATATTCAAGGGGGTAGTATATGACAAAAACTCTTATTTCGGGAACGATATTAAAATGACATATTACTAACCAGTATTCTTCAAATATTCCTATTCTGCCAGCAGCTCTTCCCCGATCTGAGCGTTGACCACGCCCACATGACATCTGACCTTCCCCAGGCCATGAGAGTGTCCATGAATGGGGAGGAGGAAAGCCTGAGGAGTATGCTGACCCCGCCTGACAGCCCAGTGTTTGCAGAGCTGACCACGCCCAACAACCAACCCAAGGGGACTATGTTTCAGGATGGTGCAGTGCCCCACTTGAAATACGAACCCGACACATACAACATTATGAACACTGGTAAGTGAAGGACCCATGAAACAATTATTAACAAAAGCTTTCTACATCCTTCAATGACCTCATTAAGTGTTATCAATTCTAACAAGCAGTTGCTCTACATCTGTTTTCCTGCAGTGTGTTCCCCGATGTATCCAGAACAACCGTCCTTCAGTGAAGGAATTATATGTGATGTTCCCTTCGGAGCGTCGAACCATGTACTTGTTAAACAAGGTGAGCATCATCTAACCGATCCGATTCTTGATCTATCAGCAGGTTGGTTTTAACATGGTGGAATAAGATGTCTTTTAAAGGTCAGAGTTTTACCAAATCCTTTAAATCATCGGGATGCATCTCATGAGTTTCGAGTCTCGATCCTAAAGAGAAACTGGAGTAATAAACTGCCGGTGGATCATTAGTTGGAGCCTTTTTAGAAATGCGCGATGAGTGCTGGACTTAATTCTCCAACACACAATGAAAGTCATACCAACATGAAACCGTTACCAAAGCATGCCAGGAAGAAGATAGTGCGTTCTGACTAACCATTAACATGTCGTCCTCTAGAAAATGCAACCAAAATGGTTTCTGAGCATGACTCAACCAGTGTGCCTTCTGGGAGATGTATTAAACAGCTAGTGCGGCTACAGGGAAAATCGAGCCAGTTTTCAGTTTCTGAAAGAAGATCGCTTTCATTTGTTTTTCTCTCGCTTCATGCAGAATTTATCGAGCCGGATTTGTCCAACTGCTTTCCACATGGCAGTGTGGAGTCTCCAATGCCCCAGTGGCAACAACCGAGCTATCTGGATTACGAAGGTAAGACGATAACAGTTCTGCTCTCTATAAGCTGACAATACTCTTTAACACATCTTTCTCCTGGGGTTAGAAATTCAAAACTGTTCGTCATATTCAGAGTTATACTGTTGATTGCTAACAACCATTTGGCCTTAGATTTTAAAGTGAAGAATTTGTATCGAATTTGCCAAACTGTCCAGAGCATTCCCACCAGTCTTCTAAATCGCAGATGACTAAACTTTCACTGGAAAAAGCATGAAAAAACCTGTCTCCAATTCTTGTAAAAATTAATTCTACTTCACGACAACAGTCCAAGTATTATTGAAACAAAATGCACTTTGATTCCAGCTCATAACTGGTTGCCCTTTAAACCCGAAAGACGGATTAGGATATTTATGTAAGCTCTGAAACTCTTGTTGCCTCAGACTATCCTCCTGCGCCACAACATCCGCCAGCCTTTGATGCGAACTTCGAAACATTGCCAAACGTTGAGAACCTCTTGAAGTCACTCATGGACCCACAGAGGCCCACGACTACCAGCTTCCAGTTCAGAGGACACAATTCAGCTGGAGAAGGTAGGAGCAACTTGTCTAATATTGCCATTTAAAACAGGCATGATTCAACTATGTCTGGTATCCTGTCGACTATCTTATAACTATTATTATTCAACGTGGGTGTTTCCACTTGAAGGAAATATAAACTGAAGTCTGTTATTTCTTGCTGTCCACCATGAAAAGGGCAAAGAACTTGCTAACAAAGAACGAAATAATCCATTAAAAAGTGGGATGATAGCTTAGCAGATGATAGCTTAGCTAAGTATCAATAAGGTACAGAGAAGATAGACAACCTGACATTAATAGGGATGGTGAGCCTCTACCAGGTGTACAGGCTTTTTAGAATCAGAAGTGCTTAATTTGCATCTCTTTTAATTGGTGTCATATTTTTGTCATGTCAGAAACAGAGTTTGAAAGCGAAAGCGAAGCCAGTTTCACCCTTCCGAACTCCCCAGCCACGTCTGATGAAGGACATCTCTCCATCAACCACCACCCAGCATCCCAAGACCACCGCATCCACAATTACCAGAGGAAGACCATCGACAAAAGCCTGTCTCTGCTCCGTGGCGTGACCAACAAAAACTGCAAGAGGGGGCGTGGCCGCCCACGCAAGATGCACCCGATCTCCAGCACAAGCAGTGACGAGAGCGACGAAGAGGTTACAACGAGGAGGGGACGCGGCCGAAGAGAAGGTAATTAACAGCTCTTTTTTGTTACATGGGTTGAAGACAAACCTTAAATCCACTGAAGTGATGCACTCACTTTGGCAGCTTCTACGGCTTCAAAGAAAGCCTGTAGAGTTTTCCAATGACAGTTCCTCTGTCACAGATAAAGTGGCTATTTTCTGCAAAGTTGTTGATGTTTTGGTCTTTTCTCTTTCATATGCAGCTATGCGTGGCAACCACTTGTGGGAATTCATCCGTGACCTCCTGAAGGACAGCATGTACTGTCCCAAGTACATCCGCTGGGAAGACCGGAAGGATGGAGTATTCCGCTTTGTCAACTCCGAAGCTGTGGCCACCATGTGGGGTCGCAAGAAGAACAATCCCCAGATGACCTATGAAAAGCTCAGCCGTGCCATGAGGTAGGGACACCTTCTGCCACCATCTTGGTGTGTTTCCTAAAGACGCTGTTCAAAGTCCATAGAGATGGTCACCAGGCCACAGGAACCAGTCTAATTTTGTATTTAGACAGCAGACAGCACCTCTTCGGGAGCCATTTTTGATCATGCTTGCTCCTTTTTATCTTTACTTCCGTAGGTACTACTACAAACGTGAGATTCTTGAGAGGGTAGATGGCCGTCGACTTGTCTACAAGTTTGGAAAGAATGCAGCTGGGTGGCGGGAGGCCGCAGGACTGGACAGTGATACAGAGAGCATGTAGGTTGGCACAACCCACAATTTATATGTCGACAGACAAAAACTGATATCGAGATGTTTCGATAGATCAAAAGATGGATGTTGCAAGGACGAATGTCCAGATTGTACACCCGAAAATTATCGTCAAATATAACCAAAAGCAACAGACCTACGACCACTGTATTATCAAACTCCCACAATTGCAAAATCAGACATGATTTTGAAGACTGATTGAAAATATCATTGGACACAATGCCTGTTTTAGAGCAGATGAATGAATGAAATACCAGCAACAGCACTAACATGATGAATTACCGATGGACATGTCAGAAGAATGTGTAAATAAACATTAAACAAAGTCAAAGGTTAACAGGTAGCCGACACTGCTTTTTTGATAAAATCTGGCGGCAGACAATGAAGAACCGAACCAAGGTGGCTTTACTCCATGGATTTTCCACAGCAGATTCCAAAGGTGAAGAGCTGAATGCCAAATATAATTCTTGTATCAAAACCGTCTGTCTGATTGTCATTTTCAGCATTAAAATCCCTCTAAACAATGTGGGCATCTGCAGTTAGAACAAATTGAATCCAAAGCCCTATTATTTTAAACTGAATTCAGAAAAGGAAAGCAGTTTACTTGTTGACATTCCAAAAGGGGTTCTTTTGAAAAATTTCAGTTTCAGTCGAATTCGATTTCAAAAGGTAAAATCTACTGATTTCCATTCAACTGCAATCTTGGTCAAAAATCTACAATAACGTGAAATAAACAGATAATGAAGAAAAATAAGAGCATATTTTCAATACCCATGTGACTGTGATATTATTTTTATGCAAGAAAGTACCGTGTGCAAGCTTAGCATTACAGATAATGTACATTGATGCATTAGGGTTTATTAAAACAATGTATGAAAGTTTATTACAGCGGTAAATTATTGTATTTTGAAGACTTTTTTTAAGGTTTAATCTTTGTACTGTTTTTATACAATGTACATATATTTTTTCAAGTTTTTGTGATAGGGCAGATTTGAATATCACCAGTAGAAGCAGAAAAGCTGAATGCATATACATTTGTACATTTACGATTTGTGAATAGAAATATTTTGAGAAGTATATTAAGTTAGCTGAAGTGCTTTCCCTGTCTTGGTAATAGTAATAAAATTGTGCGATCTGATGAACATTTTCTTTTTAACATAAATCTTTCAAGAATGATGCGAATATGAATGCGAATTTTAGGTTTAACATGCAAAAACAGACATCAAAAAGAGAACATGACTTCTACTAGAAACTATTTCACAGAATCAAAAATGAAAGAAAAACCACACCTGGAAATTCCCAGGTACAGGTACGATTTTGTAACACTGAAACCTAGTGCATCTATAGTTTTGGATAGGTGCACGTGCAAGGTCAAGGGTCATGTAACAGAGCATACCAAACTATTTCTACTACACCCAAACTCTGTTTGAATGGATGCTGTAAGAGGCAAAACAAGCTATGGGTGCTTACAATCGAATCAGGTTGGTCCTTGCAAACCAAACAGCAATGGTACTGGTATCTGCAGGCCTGCGAAGCTTTAAAAAATCCTAGTTCTTAATGTGAAATTTATAGTTAGATAGCCATCTGGGCTGCACTTCTTGAACTCTTTCGTTGAATTTCGATGGCGTTGGCTCAAAGTTTTTGTTTACACACCTAATTCAAACAGCTATATTTAACAAACGAAGCAATACAGATATCATGCACCTGATCTGTGTTGTCATCTATTCCTGCATTTTACTGTTATTTACAATGGAATCAAATGCCAATAAAGTGCATGCACATTTGACCATTTCCCAATAAGGGGATTTTTCATAGCCATTGGTAAATCCCTTGTCATGGCCACGCAGCAAAGTATTTCTTCCAATGCTGTTTTCAAAATGATCAAGACGCTGATCGATATTAAATATAATTTAGGATCAAGGAACGTGTATTAACCGGGGGACGGTATGCCTAGATGCTGTTTTACTGGTATGATGAAAACGAGTCCAATAAGCATAACCTTACGAGCATAAACTAATAAGCTTTTAGGAAACAGTGCATGACTTTCGGGTGCATTTTTTTGTTTAATTTCTTCTTTATATTAAGTTTCAGCCTGCTGGACAGGAAATGCCAACATATTTTAATGAATTTTGTCACATATATTTATGTTTTTCCACATAAGATTTACCGTTGTTGGAACTGTTAAAAAAGGTGCGCCAGTTGGGACAGCAAATTGAAGCATTCTAACACTTTTTTTTACCGAAAGAAAATTGATACACGTGGGGATGTTAAAGTGTCATATTTTGTACATAAACCTAGTCTTGAAATAAGTACTAAATATGCTCTGTCCTTTTTTATCAAATACAGTACAGATTTTTGCAATTTTATAAGTATAGTGTAATTTTGTAATACGGTGAAGTACTTTTTTCTACATTTTTAGTACCGTACTAGCTCGGAAGCCCGAAAGAAATAAAAGATTGCATGAACATCAAGTTCCATAACCTCTGACTTTTCAGCCATACACATTATTTCCAATTGTCTGCAGTCACTGTGTCTCTCATAATTGATGTTTTGAAAAGAGTTGGTAGTTATTTACCCGATATGTCTGCTCTCATTTGCTTTAAATAATAGAAACCTGATATTTTCGTTTAAGTTTATCGAGGGGATAACCATTTTGTTTAAAGAGGCTGTCTTGTGAAGTTGAATTGCCATTGGTTTTCTGAAATGAGTTCATTTCAATACGCCATTTTTTTCAAAAAAAGGCAGCCTCAAAAAATTAGCACTCTGGCATACCATGTAAGGATTTCTAGGAAATAGTTTTGAAAGGAAATCATGGATTATAATTTGTGTTCAGCCCGCATTTAAAACATGCCAATCATTGTACTTTAAATCGCCATAACTGAAAAATGATAAAAAACAAAACCACGGTGATGTGAAAATAGAAAAATTACTCAGAACAAAAGCAGTCTCTGATTTTTGAGCCGTTTCGTATATGCACGCTGGTGTCCCTATTATGGTATGCGGAATGCTGTGGCACAATTCAATCATTTCTCTCATTTGGGGGGGGGTTTACTCTTAGTATAATTGTTCACTCCCTGTGTTCAGCCACATCAAAGCGTACGACTGATACAAAAATTTGCCTTCGTGCCCCACTCTTCTGCCAAAATAAAAAAAAAACAAATGACAGTGCAACCCTATGTATGTGTAGACGCAATTCTTGATCTGCATGTGGGGGGGGGGGGTGAAGCCTACCACTGGGACGTCTTTGCACCGTTCATTGACATCACTCCCAGACATTGATATGTGAAAGCCCAAATTACAGGTTAAGGTCACTGCCCTTCCTTTCTCACAGTTTTGGGGAGTTGACAGAAATACTTTGGGGCACTCGACAGAAAGTCTTGCAGTTTCAGCGAGCCACAGACATTTTCTCAGAACTTGACAGGACCGGCTCATAATTCTAGGAAAAGGACCAAATTGATGAAAACCTAATTAGATCCCACAGGATGAAGTGCACACGTAGGACTAATGTGTGCCATTTTAGGATGATAGGGTTGTTTAACGTCAACTTGCGTACTTCCTGAAACCGGAACACAGTGATTGGAATACCACATAAATTGAAACACAAAATACATCCCAAATCAGCTAGGCAAGGGAAAACAAGAAAAGAGCTGAGCACAAAAACCTCCACAAAGTAAAGCCCCTGAGAAAAAAGTCCACAAAATTGTCCTCAAAAACAATACAATAAACATTTCTATTTGGCTCGCAGTCATAGACATTAAAAGTTTATAACCTGCATTAAAACTTGAGAGAACTTTTGTCCGTGTACTTCTTACTTGTCAAACTGTACCGCAAAATGTACTACTATCTTGCATGAAAATCTAGGCTATTCCACCTGATGCGTACACTACAATTTCAAATTTGGAATTCTGAAAGAGGAACAGAGGAAAGAATATCAATCTGTAAGTCACAGCAACCATTTAAGTTATTCATGCATGGGTCAGCAACAGCAGTTAGTGACGCACTCAGAAAAGGACAAAGGGACTAGCCCCCTGTGCGTGGTTATTGGTGTATGTCTTCATACCAACTGCTCACCCACAGTATTTGCTAGCTCACAATGACAATATTGCACGGCCATTATTTTTTTTGTGGATGGTGCGTGGCAGGTTCCACCTATTGTATTCCCCTTGGCAATTTCCACGACTCAAGATATAAATAGCTGTCTGACTCACTCTTTGGAAAGAAAATGGAGAGGATGACAAATAATACTGTGATGACTGATGCCATCAAAGACTGTTGGCTATTTTTTTGTTGATCTCTTTTAATTTACAAACAACACAGAACCCAGACAAGGGTGTTTTGTGCTGCATAGCTTTTCGGGTTTGTACTTGACCTTGAGCGGAAAAGGAAATATTTTAAGTAAGCATGCAATCATTAGTTTTATAAAACATGTTTTTTGTGATGTTTGCAGTGTAGATGTAGGTTATCTAAGCCATGGTGATCTGTAAGACAAAATTATGGCACGTGCCATTTCCTAAAAAAATCAAGACAATGGGTTCAGATCCTATTTAAAGAATCCACACGGCTCATTCTGCATCAGACCTATTTTCTTTCCACCGAAAGTTAGACACCCCTTTAATGGCATGCAAAAGTATGACCTGTGAAATCAGATTATTCAAGTTTAGAATAAAAAGAAACTACGGAAAGGTTTAAAGATTCCTCTGGTTAGATTCGAACCTGCCATTTTTGTTATCACCTGTGTTCTGAGTGCATCGTAGTTACCAATGCCAAACATTGACATTTTGCAGTAACCTGTATAGGATGGAAGCTCAATTAAGTGCTGTGCTGTGCTTTCCCTTCCCCTGAATAATGATCCTAGCACATACTATACTGAAACATCCTGTGTTTACCCGACCAGTTCCTCTCAAAACCATCTTGTTATCACACAACATTCCATGGAATTACAATAAACATTCCGCAGTATATCTCCCACTAACGGCAGGCCACAAATGATGGCAATGCATCGCTGCCGATTCATTCTATTCCTAAAATTAAAGTCACAACACTAAATTTTGTGTCAACAGAGAGCGAAACCGTGCATCACGAGTGGCAGAGAGAGAAACAAGAGGATGTATGCCTAACCATTAAAACCAGCAATACAAACTACAGGTACTTTACACAGACACTATCAGACAGAAGAAGCAGGTGCATGAAACTGCTGTCATGTAAACACTAGCTGTGTGCCTTCAAAGTATACACCTGCGATCCTGAGGTTTCTATATGAAATTATCATGTCCCTCACCAAACCAAAAAAACAAAGTTGATTTGTCAAAACTACCGGTTAATAATTATTTTAAATTTCTGACTTTATCTCTCTGAAGCGGGGCTTGGAATTTTTTTTCAGAAAAGGGCCAGACAGTGGTTTCATGCAACTTTAAGACGGGCTGGTAAACTAAATCGCTCTATGAATTGCTCTATGAAAAGTTATTCCGTTCTGCCTGGATGCCGGTGGGCAAACCGCTGATGAAATACAATTCCATGATCTTATGAACTCTGAATAAAACAATCTTGTTGGTGATTTCACATTCAGTAATACAAGTGCCATAGAAAGTTATCACAGACCTAACAGTTTATTTCCAGCTGCAATATCGCAGTACACTCAGGCCATTTCAGAGCTGCTACTCAGTTAAATGCTAGTCGAGAAAAACAATATCAACAGGTTGCCTGAGAAAAAAAAATGAGTATGACCGGTTCACAGCTTGCTTCGGAGTATTTTCTGCTTTACCTCTCTGGGTTAAGAGGGCACACCCTGGACACCATTTGGAGAGGGACTGGTGAACATTTTCAGTGAGACCACCTATGTTTTTTCTTTGTCCCATTTGTTTTCACACAACTGCAGTCGATTCCCTAACCAACCTTTGGCTATTCGAGGGTGAAATTCTAGCCTGCAATCCCTTTTCTTCTCGTATTCAAAGTAATAAACATGAATTGCAGATACTGCTTTAGAAACAACAACATCTGCAGACATATCTGCAGACATGCTTGTACAATTAGACCCAGCCTGACCCACTTTTGTTCTTTATCAATAATACCCAGGCTATCATTTACAGTGGAAGAGTGCCCAGGCATTCTACCACAGGACCTCAAAGGGAAAGAAAAATGACACAAGATAGGCACTATCACATGTCTAGAGTTACGTCTAAAACAAGGCATGTATGGCAACTTCTGCAAGTGAGGACTCCACATAACAGCCTGTTATCGCACCAAACACATTGAAGTCATTTGGCCGCAGGGTTTAGTGTGGGTTTTCCCCGGTGAACCCCGATCAGCGATCATGAACTCTGACGGTAATGTGGGTTTTTCTCCACAAACCACGACAGCACGGTTGGTTGCGCCAGGGTTTTTACATCGGCACTGTTGCCAGGTTCAAAAATAGCACCGTGCTTCATTGTACAAAGAAAAGGCATTTTGTCAAATGCACGGTAATATCTTTTGGCGAGGGAGTTGGAATATTGCCACAGAATAATAAAAGTAGCTTTTATAAAAATTTAAACAAGAATAAATAAAATTCATGAAGAATGGAGTTGAAAAAATGAATGTGAGCTTAACACTGGAATCAGAAAAAAAAGACCAAACTGATGTTGCACAAGATTCCAAGTGCTATAGGCCTACGTTCAAGAATATTCAAGCAAGGTCAATGGAAGTATATCAACAAATTAAGGAAATAGGTTGATCCAAAATATTCTGAGCCTCATTTCTGCTATGGAGTGGCTAATTTCTCTCCACTGAGGGATCAACGTTAGGTTTAAAGGGTTTTAATCTATTTTGGGCAGCCACAACGACAACTTAAGGGGAAGAGAAATGGCCTGCTATAGACTCCCCTCCTGACAACCAAACCTTGATCTCTGCCTAACTACCCTTGGCGAAACACTCTACATGTAACTATAAGTTACACACCAAGCATAAAAGTTACCCGTAAGATATAAGATTTATGTTAGACACTCTGGAATAACCTAATTTAACAACCCTAGCGAGTACAACTCCTCTCAATATGTACTTTTTCTAAACTAAGAAAGCCGAACCACTGAACAGTAAAAGAGAAAGTGAACTACAATCCTGACCCAACTTGTCAGGGCACGTTTCAGTAGTCATACCCTCTGCTGGTCCCCCCCTCCGGCCCCGGTCAGTGACGTCATCTCCACATGGAGCAGGGACCGCGCATTGAAACCCTACATTGAGAGAGGGACCAGGGATCGATGGGGGCAGTAATATTTGACCAGGATTGTAGGTTGTAAGCCCCTTCCACTCCCCACCATTTCGACCTGGCCTATCAGCTCTGACACCCGTCCACAAACAGCTAGATGTGCAGTGACCAACATCCAGACCGTGACTTCAAGTCGAGTAAAATTTCAATCAACTTACAGTAACGGCGAGGAGAATGCAAAAAACCAAGTATCTAGGGCTCAATTAAAAGAGTTACTGAGCTTGAACCTTTGCCAAGTCA